TTCCCTCCTCCTCCTAGTGCTTTCATTTTGTTTAATATAAGCATTTCAGTGCAACGCACTGTAGAAGACAGTATGTCTCAAAGCCATGTAGTTTTCTGTCTCTCCGCTGCAAATTGTTTAGATGAAAACTTCATTTTTCTTTCAACATGTCAATTTGCGCAGCTTAAGTAAAAATAGGAAGCAGTTAAAAAGCAGCGGGCGTGTGAAAAACCACAGTTCTGTTGAAAAAACATACAGTTCTATAACGCAGTTGTTACTGTATCCATACAGTTGTATATATACAGTTGTATAAAAATTATAGAGGGTCACCTAAGCTAACCCTAAATAAAATGGGATGAAGGGGCAAATATTTTCCTCTTTAGTTGGTTTGTTTAGTCTGGTATCTATTTGTGTTTTCTTCTTTTAATCCTCAACTCATAAATAAAAGAGGAGAAAAAATAGCAACTTTCTTCTGTAAGTATTTCAAAGCATAAATAGGTCAGTGAAATTAACCGGCTGTATCCCTTTAAATATAATTAGTAAACTATGGAGAAACTTACACTCTGAGGAATATTTTAGGTTTATTATGTCATTGCTTTGATTCTTAAGTTAGACCCGCTTGAAAGCAAACTCTCTAGGTAAAGGCATGGATTCATGTTCATGGTCGGGATTATAGATTAGCAATGAATCCAGTATGCATTACAAATTTACACCTAAAGATTATACAAGAAATATTTAAAATACGTTTTTATTTAATGGGTCATTCACAAGATATTATTAGTCGTTTAATGCTTCTATTTCAGTGTTTGTTAAATTCTTAGCGGGCTTCATGACCAGTTTTGTCTTTAGAAATAAGCAAAGAAATGGGAATATTTTACGCAGAGCTTGCAGGCAAGTTACTTTTTCTTTTATCTGATTCTCTGGTGTTTCTAATTATTGTACGTGTGAAATTTTTGGATTGCGTCTAAAGGATTAATACACGTTTTATTTCTAAAGTGACGTTTCAAATTATTGGTAATACAGACTAATTCAATATGAAAATAGCAGCTATAAAAGACGGGTGTGTATGTATATATATTTATATATACATGGAAAGATGTAAATGAGATGGGAAGTGTAAAATATTGAATCGTCTCTGAAGGACAGCGTTCCCAGTTAAATCCTCCGTGCCTGGGGTAACTGGGGCAAAAAATCCTCAGATTACGGTAAAATTACGTTAACTAAATGTTCCCCTAATAGAAGCAGTTTTACGGTAAGGGGCATAAATAGCGATGTTTTTAAACCCGGGCGGTGTGCAGGGGGAGGTTGTGGGGCCGGCCGGGCCCCCCGGGGGGGGGGGGCCCCCCCAGCCACGCTGCTGCACGGTACCGCCATGGCTGAGTGTCAGTGGGGAAGAGCTGGTGACATGAATGGTAATTGTGACTGCTGCTAGAACCGCCTTTTTATAAAAAATGGCCTTGACGAGCCCTAATACAAGATTTAGGGTTTTTTTTTTGCTGTAACACGGTAAAAAGACTTGCTGTGCAATGAGTTAGTATTGATTTTTTTTTTTGTCTGTAGCCTCTTAGCTTTCTGACTCCATTATTTTTGATTTTACTATGAAATACATATCCTTTCTACTGACATCTGACAAACAACATATGGAAGTCGTTTTATCTACCAATAATGTGTTTGTCAAAAAAATCATACGCTAATGGGTTATGCTTCCTCCAGTCCATTTTCCCCAAGTTAATGTCACTGATGTAATTCTAAACATTTAGTGATTTTTGCCCCCTTAATAATTTGTCATTCCCGTAGGTTTGTATAAGATTCATGTAAGATACTAATAACAGGCTGGGAACTGACTGTAGGTTTTGTGAAATAAGAGTTGAGCAACTGATTTTAAATCCACATTCACCTGCCTTTCTCTGATACCTAGTTTTAACACTGTGACTACCAGGTACACTTACCATTCCTTTACTTACCCGCAGACCAGATGTATCCAAGAGCTTGATGAATTATGATTCCCTCTCCCTAGTAGGACATTAGTATATTTGTTTTTATACTTCCTATGGGATCCTTAGGAATCTTTTTTAAAAAAGAAGACGTTAGCAGCAAGGCAGCAGAACTTTTAAACACAAGCTTAATTGTAAGCGAGTGATTTTTTCCTTCTAAATTCAAAAGAATCGGGCTTAGAGATGTACTTACGCACTTTGCTGTAGTGCAGCTGTTGTCCTAAGCCTTGCCAAAGCCGAAGCCTCGGTAAAGCTTCCCGGGGCACGTGGCTGGCCGTGCAAGGAACCAGCGCATCTCTGCCCATGTCCCTCCCGGCTATCACCCTCTCTCCTCTCTTTCCAGCCGAGGAAACCCTGCATCTCTGGGATCCAGACAGCCTTTCTTCCCCTGGGAGGTTTTAGCGTACTGCTCCCTGCGTGTTTCCTGCAGTGGTGCAAACCTCGTGCTCGGCCTCAGTGAAGTTATTAAAACATCAGGTACGAGCTCACTCGCTGCCTGAAGCAGTCAGAGTGCTGGAAGCGGTTATCCAGACTCAGCATCACTGTATTTGACTTTCTGCACATTCAACGTATGCAGAAATAGTTAGCGTGTCCCTGATTTTTCTGTTCGTCATACCCCCAGAGACTAAACAATATTCCCAAATAATTTTTAAGCAACGGGGCGGGTTCTTGTTTGCTGCTTGACAGTTACATCTCTTCCTATCTTTTGTCTGCCTTAGCTGTTCTATAAATGCCGCTCACAGCAAAAACTGCCCACTTACTCTCTGATACAGTGCCTCGACCGTTTCAGGCTGGCCCCAATGTACTATGTAGAATGCAAATGGTTTTCATAAGTAAATAAGATGGAGATAAATTGGTTAAAATTGTAAACGAAAGCATGCAGTTGGCAGAATGAATTCAAGATTTGCTTGTCACTGCAGTTAGACGTAGAAGTAGGAAAGGAAGATTAACTGAGCTGTGAATCTGAAGAAGCACAAAATGAAAGAGACAGTAAAGCAAAGACTTTTGTGTCAGATGTACCGTAATGAACAAGCCACACTACCCAGGACTGAAAAGAAAGCAGTTTTGCGGTACAACCTGTTGATAAAAAATGAGTTGTTAATTTAGTGCTGGCATCTCCATTCCAGAAATATTTCTGAGCTGCTATTAGTTTATTTGCTCATCTGGAGCTCCGCTTACTTGTCATTAATAGACTCAAATGAGTTTTCAGTGGTTAGTCATTGCAGAAGGATATAAGTTACGTTTCTTTTTTTCTTGTGCAAAAGAGAAAGTATTTTGCAGTGTATGTGTATACCTACATGAATTTGGATTTAGAGTTTTGTATACAGAGAAAGAATTTGGTACATCTGAATTTCTGAATAATTCTGCAAGCTCTTTTGGTCTGCAAGCACTTTTCCTGATTTTAAATATCCTTTGGTCTCTTTAGAACAAGAAATTTAACCTTTTATACATACAGATGTATATACTACAAATACATAATTACAATTGCTCTTTTATTTAAATTTGTGTTTTATGTAGTGTTTAAAGTATTCTTGTGTATTCATGAAATTTTCGATCAAACTTCACGGTTATCCTAAGTTGCTTTTTCCTCATCTTTTTGGCAACCTCCTTTTTACTTTGTTGCTCGGGACCATGATTCTGTGACTCGTGAGCTCACCTCCTCAGTACCAGATCCCTCAGCCACACAGAACCGACCTGCAGAGGCATGGGCAGACACAGTTGCACTTTCTTTCGAGCCATCTAGAAAAAGAGTTTATACTGAGAGTGTTAGCAGATAGCTGGCCTCTGAACTCTGGCTGGTGCAGACATACCTGCTCTGACATCAAGCCTACCAGCACAAAACGTTTTAAAAACAAATTTGAATTAGAAGAAGAGTTTGTACTGGATCAGCCTGTGCACGATGTTGCTGCCATATGTTAAGTCTGAGTTTCAGAGACAATGTCCTGTTTTGTTGGACTGTGGCCCAAGTGTGAGCGTTCACCTTACAAGTGATCTGATTTAATCACTTAACCTTTGGCGAAAGGAGTAACGCCAGACTGCACAAGAGGCACGGGGGAGAGAGAAGCCGGACCATCCCTTCGGCAACTTAGATCAACATAGCTGTAATATGAAACTTCACTGTCATCCATCAGTAGTTTCATTTTTAAAAAGAAGTACATCTTGCGTAGTGAATGCTCTTAGTTTCCTACCAGTCTAATCTATCCAGAAGATTGTCTGGCTGAGCAGTGAAAGAACTGGCAAAACCTACCTGACAGCACCCCAGTTACGTGTTTAGTATAGCTCGTACCAAGGTTGGCAGGAGCTGCTCTTCATCGTAATGTCACTGGGAGCTGCATTCGCGTCGTCAAAATAAAATCTCAACCTGGGATTCAAAAATATCTTGTGAAATACATGTGCGCTGTGAGACCTCACGGTACAATAAAGAAGCGATTTTGCTCATTTGAGTAGACAGCTGCAATTTTGTCACCTATGAATCGCATAAGCACACGATAGTTAGTGTGTAATATTTTATTACCATATTCTAAGATTTTTTTTGTCAAATTCACCTAACGGTGTAACTCTTAATGCCAAACTAATCACGTAGCTTGTCATGAAGAGAACACAGATGATGGCACATCTCTCTGGACATTCACAGCTGAAGCCAAATTCACCTCCCTACAAGCAGAAGTAGTTTTACTGCTACGTACAGATGGTACTCCACTGAGTTGTCTGCACTGTCCCCAAATCCTTAACTTCTCCAGGAAATCCTCATGCCATAAATCTAGCAGTTATCCTGCGAGGACATCTCTAGCAAATTCTTAAGTTAGCATTTTGAATGATATCATACATTGAACAATAATGGCCAACTCACTGTTGTTATTTTTACTAAAGGAGAGAGTTTTTCTTTGTAACAGAGCACTTTAGGCTGCATTACAAGTTTCTTTTCTGGTATGTACTGTTGTAAAATATATTCAAGGCATTGCTTAGACACGGCATTTATCACAGGCTTACACTAATGTATACTGACATTACACCTTCTCTTTGTAGACCAAGCCACCCTAGTAGAGCAAGTGAAACGAGTAAAAGAAATTGAAGCTATTGAAAGTGACTCCTTTGTTCCACAGACATTCAGATCAAGTAAAGAAGTCAAAAAGGTAAGTTTTCAATATCCTTTCTTGGTGCATAATCCTTTCAAAGTCAGGTGGAAGCTGTGCTACTAATACAGTTTCCATCCATGAAAGAGCATCAGTGTTGACAATCCTGAATCCCAGCAACGACTCTCCTATGTTCTTGGTGTGGAGTTCAAGGGAGAAGACATTTAAATGTGTAAGGATTTCAAAGAAATCAACTGTTTTGACAGTATATGCTACCTATGCTGAGCAACTCTGGTTTTTAAAAATTCTTTTAAAATTGTATAAAACCATGAAGATTTTTTTTTTAGGAAAAGCAGAAGAATTAAAATCCAAAAGTAATCAAACACATTGTAATTAAAGGTAGAGATCAGTATTTTTAATTCTGCATAACTGAGGCCAGACTTTAAGACCACATTTAGTCCCTGAAACAAAACGGCATTGTTTTCAGACAGCTTTCCAAAAACCTAACATGAGACGTCCAGGTTTCAGAATTTTACCTGCATTTTGGCTGCCAAGTCTTCTAGGGAACTCGGATGCTTTTGTCCTTGGAAGTAGGCAAGCAAAGGCTGGTTCAGTTTTTCCATCTAATGGTGAGGTGTTTTGAATTATCACTGTTTGTTTCCCCCAGAAGATGCATTTTCTTGCCTTTCCAGAAGTCTCCAAGAAGTTCACGCAGCTTCTTCAGGAAGTGATCCAAAACCCCAATGCTACGGTTCTGCAAGCTCCCCCATTGCCTTTGGCAATGCCGTTTTTTTGCACTTCATGTGTTCAGTCTGGACGTTAGTCCATGTCCAGTGTGTTCCTGCTATGCACGCTGAGAAGTATTTGCATGAGGATCCTTTTGCGGGCACGTGTTGCAATGGGAAGAAAGCTGAATGCTCGGTTAAGATACTGCCACGTTTGGGAGCTTGAGGATAAAATACTCAGATGTGTTTCTTTCTTTTTAGTCAGCAGAGCCTACTGAACTACAGTACGAACCTGTAACTATCGGAGTGGGAACTGTTGATGCATCTGCTCCTGAAAAAGAAGCACCACCTGCCAATATCCCTACTGCCATCAAATATCAAGATGATAATTCTTTAGCACATCCAAATGTAAGTGTGTCGATATTTACTTTATCTTTAGAACAAGACAGCCCGTTGAATGAGAGCAGGTTCACGTGACCTAACAACCATTTTGCTGTGCTGCTCATCAAATAACCTGTGGTCTGAAGGCCATTAACTAATGGGCCACTCATTGGCTCAGAAAGGATCACGCTCCTTGCATTATCCAACAGAGAATAATTACAAAAGAAGTTGTTCACCAGTGATGTAGTTTTAGAGTTACAAACAAATTTTATAACAAAGTGGCATACTCATTTAATGCAGGGGAATTTAAGATCCTGTTCATATAAAAATTCCTGTTCAATAAAAATTCAGGAAGAATTGCTTTTGGTTTGTGTAGTGGGAAACCTGGTGGAAGACTCAGAACTTGCCCACCTTGCCAAATTGTAAAGCTTTAAATACATGACAAACTTAAGATAATTTTAAATCATTGTGGCTAAACTTATGCAGATTCCTTTGTGAGCACTTGTAATTGGAAATAGGAGTACTTACAGTAGAGTTTTTTTAAGAACTAGCAAATGAAAAATGCCTTGCAGTAAATGAACTAATGCAAGTTCTGTATAATGAACATCACTAACAAAGATCAAGACCTACACAATATGACAAACTTGCTGTTTCAGGAGGAGACTGAAATTGCAATGTCTTGGCTTTCCAATTATTAAAGTCTCTACCTTTACTAATGTATTTATATCACCTTTGTATTTTAACACCCCTATGCAGCTGGGCTTTTTCTTTGGGCACTGAAATAGCTGATATATATTTCAACAGATTATAACAAATAAAGAGAAAGTTAATGAGTTGCGCCTACTTTTCCTCCTCTCCCCCTTGTCTCTCAGCTGTTTATTGAGAAGGCAGAAGCAGAAGAGAAGTGGTTTCAGAGGCTGATTGCTCTTCGGCAAGAAAGGCTGATGGGCAGTCCGGTGGCCTGAGTGAACTGCTGTGACCATCACATACTAGTTCTCCACGAATGCTAAGAAATCCTACCATGAAATTGTTTTATTTTTCTCTTTTGAGGGGATTTTAACAGTTAGTATGAGTTGTACAGAGAATAAATGTTTCATCTGAATGAACAAGAATGTTCTATCCTCCGTTTTTCTTCCGAGCTCATTGCTGGGTGACTTGTATCGCTGAGCTTCCCACTGTAGATGGGAAGGCTATCGGAGCAGTGTAATTTTCTTTTTTTGTACTGAATTCCTCTGGGGTGCAAAAAACTTGACCAAATCAAAAAAATATATATAACCATGTAGCAGTTTAAAGATAAATGAAAAAATAAGACTGTCAAAGTTCAGATTTACCAGCGCTCAGACAGTAGGAGTACAAGCGATACCGCCCGGGGCCATTACATCTTCTGCGGCTGGAGGAGGATTCAGGGCAAATGATATCGCTGTTATCTCTTCTTCCTTCCGTTCTGCACTGCGGTAGCAGCTTCTGAATCCCAAACATCTGTGGACAGTCTCCTTGCTGAGGGGCTCTGCTAAATTGATGCATAATTTAGTAACAACAAATTTGTAAAGTTTTCAGCAGGTTTCAAGAAATATTATTTTCTGAGCAATTTTAAGCACATTAAATTATTCGGTAATCTGGAAAAGACAGCTTTCTATGAACTTTTAATGGGAAATATAAATATTATTGTGTGTAATGGTACAGACCTTTGTCAAACAAGACTAATGGCATACCTATTTCTGTATGAAGCGACTGCTTTCAGTCTATGAAGCTTCCATTTGTCCAGGTTTGACTTTAAAATAATAAAAGATTAGTCCTATTGGAACATATTGAACTTATCCTGAGTATACTTATAAAAAAAAATCTGTCCATCATCCAACTAAATGCCAGAAATCAACCAAATAAAATACAAAAGTATTTCTTCTGAGGTATCTAGCAAAACTGTGAGAAAACTATTAAATAAGTAGAAGACTAAAATAAGCCCCCCACCTCTGGACATACCTCATTGGAAACTACCTGCATCAGCTTTCCCGTGTGAATGAAGAAATTCATTTTGTGTTGCTTTTCCTTGTTCTCAGATCTGTGGTGAAAAAAAAAAGTGGAGGATGATTCTGGAAATGTACTTTGGTTGTCTTATTTTTTTTAGATCGCTGACGTAAAAGGAAAAAGTATTAAATTTGCATTCTAACGCATTTTTACGTTTTCTTTATGAACAGTGTTAGTTTTACTTGGTCCTGCATTAAAATGGTTCTCTGTGTTTCAAGACTACCTTGTCTGCAACAAAAGTGGTAAAAAATTGTTTCCTTTGTTTCATTTCAGCATTTTCAAATGGTAAATGTTTGTCATTGTTCTCTCTTCTAATCTCCTTCTGTGTTTCTTTCATAGCAAATAAAAATTATTTGATGTCCATGTAAGCTACAGGTGTAAGTTCCTCTTTTTCACACATCATGTTGGATAATTTTGGTATTTTTATTGGATGCAAAATGATTCCTTTTATGTAATTCGCAATCCTATAGGATATTAAAAAATTCTACAAACTGGTCTGTTATGGTAATAATAGGGTGTACCTACTATTGCTTATCAATCAATAACTAAATTTGTCCAGCAAGTCCATGCTGGAGGAGAATTGTGAGCAAGATCTGGAAAGAAAATGGAAATAGCATTTAGATAATCTGAATTTAATAGAAATATGTACTGAAATATGCCAACCATAATTTGAAACACGGAGCAAATCATTAGAAGTTGATTTTTATAGTTCCAGTTGCAGACTAGTGATCAGAATAACCAACAGATAATTACTCAGAACTTGGTAGTTTTCATGAAATACATAACTTGTTTATTGCCCCAGTGTCTGTCTGTCTGGGGACAGTTAAGAAGAGGGTTTTTTCTATTTTAGGCCCTATATTCTGTCACCCTGTCTCAATTCCTACTTTGAACATTCATTATGCATACTTGAAGTTGATGAAGTTATTGGTGTTGGGAGATGAAGGATTTGTCAGGATGGAGTTTTTGCCTAGATACCATCTGTTACAAATTAGAAAATGCACTGTCGTTGTTACAAACCTGCAAGTTCATGCAGTACAGATTTCTAAAGGTGCCTAAAGCAAGTCAGTGATGCTCAAGTGTGTGTCCTGGAGGTGAGAGCTCACATGGAGCTGACTAGCGACCTTAGCAATGCCAGATGTTGTGTCTTGCAAGTGAGTTTTAATCTTACTGTGGATCCCTCGTTGGGTACAGCTAAGCTGAATATTCAAAACACTGATCATCAAGATATGAGTGGCCTTTTGCAAGATTCACTTGCAGGGAGGCTCAGTGCTTTCCGAAGCTGAGCCCTATGGAAGGGGCGCTGGATCAGTGCTCTGCCTTGCCGATAACCTGCTGTCGCTGATTCCACAGCTTAAACCTTCAGCAAAAATAGACACTGTCCCACTGCGTTTGCTCCTGTAGAGTAAAATAAAGGTTGTATAAGGCCAGTCGTAGGGTTGTAAGTGTAAATGTTTAGACTGCAGCACTCTTGATTCAAGTTGTGTAAACTATTCTGCTTTTACTTGAATAGCATCCTGTGATAAATTATTCATTTTCCTGTCAAAGGTAGGCAGATATTCAAGTATCAGAAATGAAATATGGAAGAAGGCAGCAACATCAGAAATAAACTTCACTCTGTAACCAGCTGTGCACGACTAAGGAGAATTTTGACAAACTTACTGCTTAAAACTATTGTACAAGACTTGGACACGTTACAAATGGATTGTATCCAAACACATGTGCACTCCACCATTCCACGTGTTACCTAATCAGCCCAATACAAATTTAATTAACTATGTCGTAACATGGACATGAAACCCGTATCAATGTATACAAATTAATTGCCACTAACCTGGAAAAACGCACTGCTGACTCTCAAGCCATGCTTCTCCTGATCCAAAAAAGAGTGACACCTTTCGACAATAATCCTACTTTCTTAGTTTCTTTGCTTCTAAGGTCTTCTGATGTTCTCACATTTAGCATTTAGGACTCTTGCCTACGGAAAGGTTTTTTTTTTGTTGTATTTTCTACTTTGCTTGGTGCTCCTGGTGAAAGGGAATGGACTCCTGATTAAGAAAGGGAAAGAAACAGCTGTTTGTTAGTTATCCAGCTAAAACATAGGACTTTTAGCTGTGTTTTGCAGTCTCTAGAGACGGCAGTGACATGGTTTTGTCATTCAGGACTCGTGATGGGGAGTCTCTGATACAATCGGCTCTAACACAAAGTTCCTCCTAATGCCAAACTACCTTAAATCTGACTCAGACGAATGGTGTGTAGGAGTGAAAAGATAATGCTGTAACTTGAGCCATTCAGACTTCTGGTAGTCAGCAAAGACCTCTACCCCTAGAAATTACATTAGCAAACTCATTTCACTTATTTTTTTTTTGCTGAACAGCCACCATCAATTAAAATCAAACCAGGCTGATTTTGATTTGATAACTTTTAGGTAAAATGTTCGCTGGCCCTTCCTGATTTCTTGAGTCATCCAGCATCTCCAAAACTATTTTTTATTATGATAATTGCTTGAAAAGGAGCTGTGTTTAGTTTTTATATTATTATTATTATTATTATTATTATTATTATTGTTGTTGTTGTTACAACGTTTTAGAAAGATTTTTGCTACTAAAATAGTGGTATCTAAGAAAACACTGCCAGCCAGGAGATCGAATTTTGCTACTTCTGCTTCAGTCGCTCTGATATGAGCAGGACTGGATGATCCCGAAGGCCGTTTTTCCATCAGTAACCCAAAACCAACCTTCTCAATGATTACAGTTTTCCATTTGTCAAGTTACAAGAAGCAAGTTATTTTTAGTGGAGATCCTTGAACTCTAGAAACCTGTTTCAGGAGAGATTAGCTTGAACCTATGACTTAATCCACATATGACACAGGGCTGCGACGACTCTTCAGCTTGCAGCAGTAATAAAAAGCAATGCTAGAAGTATTATTACTCCAGAATTTAAAATATTCACCATTTGTAATTTTGACTTAGCACAGCATTGCCTAATTTCTTTTTTCCTGACCGCCGCCCCCCCCCTCCTTGTCTCCCTCCCTTGCTAAGACCTAGGAAAAAAGAGTAGCAGTGGCTGGGCCAGATTATGTGACGCTGGGGAGCAAGGCTTAGACACTGAGTCACTCTGGAATTGCCACTCCGGGGTGAGATGTGACACGATATGTCTGCTCTTTCAGGAAGGGTGCAGGAGTTGAAGCTCAGCCCAGAGAGGGGAGGAGGGAGCTCAGTGCTAACACCAGCGCTGAGCTGTGCTTCGCTTCCAGCTGGGCTCCCCCCATCAAGGTGTGCGCCTCGTAAGCTGGAAATGGTTAGGCCACGATTTAAACCCAGGTGAAAATGAAAATCGCTACTTGGCTATCGTTTTGCTTCTTCAGAAATATAGACTGGGGATGCATGGTTGCAGGGATAGTAATGATATGAGAAGCCTTTCGGCCCTTGGGCATCATTTTTGAACACACTATTTTGAAAAGGCTGTAGTTTAAAAGGTGTCGTCTCTGCTGAGCTGCCACGGTAAAAATCTCATTCCCACTAGGTGTCTCTGCCGTCCCAGAGCAGTTGTCACACTGAACATCAGTGGCTGTCTAGAAAGGCCATAGAAATGAGATGCACGTAGTCTGAATTTGCCTTTTTACTTCCTAAACAGATCCTGAGTTAGGGTAACAAGACAGAGCAGTTTGTCTCATAGTTTTCCATTGCCCTACAATCTACATCTTTCAAATAAAAAATACCACTCGAAAAGGTAAGCTCCAAATATTTACTGTCTATGTGGTGCAGCCCCTGGGAGAGTTTATAGGAGGAAAAGTGGACTCTTCCTCTCCCCCTGTCAGCAAAATCCACTGCTGAAGGCCGTGCTGCCCCTCGCTCACCAGCACAGCCGGTTTCTGGAGCTGGCCCGCCGCGGATGACAGGAGGGACAGGCATCTTCCTCTGGACGCTGCGGGTCTCCACATCTCTGGAGGCGGCGGCTGGATTTCCATGTTACGGTTCTGAAAGGAAGACATAAACGTATCTCATTAATTATTATTAATGGAAACTAAATACAGCTAACATTTGTAAAAATGTCAAATTGCATTTTTTGATACCTTTTCAGTGAATGTCAGAGTATTTTTTTTATAAATTATTGTCATCTTATTTCAGTGTTCATGCAAGTTACAGAGCTGGGCGACTATGTGAGTTGAATATATATTTAAATAAAATATTAATGTAAATGTTATTACACGTCTACCTCCAGTTCTTGCAGTAGAACGATGCTTTTATCTGACATTTACGAACAATTTATAACTGCCTTTGCAAAAGACTCTGCACTGGGCTGACATTACAGATGGAATGTAATCAGCTTTGTAACACCACTGTCAAAAGGCCACTTCCACTAAAAATACGCTTAAGCCTCTGGAAATTGCACTGCATCTTTAAGCCTACCTGTAAAAGAACTTAACTGTAAGAAGTAAGGATACCTCATTTATGCCAATACATTTTAAATTTAAATAGTAACTGCTGATCCTTACAGAACTGGCTGGGGATTGAGCACTGATTGTCTGAGTCCTCTCAAATTACCTTCAACCTTGCTTCTGACATTGCTCGGCAGTACGTGGAAATGCACAGCGCAGATCTGATCAGAGCCCCCTCATGCTCTGTTACCAGTTTTTTCCAAAACAGCTCAGGAAAAGGACCTATTTTTAGTATATTGTGCTGGTTCTCAATAGTTAGGTAAAGAGAGCTGAACATTTTCCTACCCTTTTGGAAATTAGGGGCTGCAACAAATGTAATTAAAAAGTAATTGTGTAACGAGAGCTGGGATTTTTTTTCTTCAGGTGAACAGTGAAAACTCTTCTTGACAATTAAAACTGACAATTAATTCTTGCCTTACCTGTGAAACTAGTCATATACTGTGATCATTTCTGAGCTCTATAAACATGATTTGTGATAACTTGTGCATTTAATATACTTGTTTTCTACAGGACTAACACAAATACGGCTTTAATAATGTCTGCTCAACTAGCAAGATTCATTTTTAGTTTTAGAGACAAACAGCCTAAGGCAGGCAACTTTCAAATTAGTCCAATTACTTGAACAAACACAGTACTCTCCAAACTGTGTTCACAAATTTTAAACAGTGGAGAAATTTGGCTTCACCTGGTGCAAACCACCTGAAGCAGGACAGCTTGTTTTTCGGTTTCGTATGGCAATTGGCTCTTGCAGGCACTGGGTAAATCAAGCAGCTCTTGCTGCCTAGCTGATTTATAGCCCTTGGGGTGTGTTGCTATACATTTTGCATTTTCCTTTGTCTGATTTTACAGCTCGAGGCCATGGCCAAATTCTGAGCTCAATTTTGGCAATCTTCACCACTAACCTCATAAAGATTTTGCCCCAGGAAT